GCAATTAAAAATGTTTTTTTAAAAACTGAGCCCACCCATCCATACCAAGCCGTTCAGGTCTGGTATGGATTTTGAGGGGAACCCCCACGCAAAAATTAAAAAAAAAAATGTGTGGCGGTCCCCCCCCCCCCAAAATCCATACTAGACCCTTATCCAAGCATGCAGCCCAGTAGGTCAGGAAAGGGGGGGGGGGGGTAATTGAGCAAGTCATATCAGGCCACATGCCCTCAACATGGAGGGGTGCTTTAAAGCAGGGAGGGGGGTCCCCACCCAAAGCACCTTGTCCTCATGGGGACAAGGACCTCTTCCCCACAATCATCAGTGGTTGTGGGGGTTTGTGCGCAGGGGGCTTATCAGACTCTGGAAGCCCCCTTTAACAAGATCTCATTCCCCCCATGTGAATGAGGATGGGGTACATGGTACCACTACTCATTCACAAAAAAAAAGTGAAGTGTAAAAAATGACAGAAGACAGTCTTTCACGAGGCCTTTATTAAAAACAAAAATTTTAAAATCATCCCCTGAAGTAGATCCAACGTCATTCATGATGCCTACCACCACCACTGACCCGAAAAAAGAAAAAAAAAAAACACCCTCTGTTCTCGACACTGGCTCCCGGCCATCTGACAGCTGTACCGACCGGACAGTTCTTAAATGCTGTGATGACCTCACAAGAGGGCAGGGTTGCCCTTCCTCCTTGTGACATCGTCAAGCACTGTGATTGGCCAAAGCACTTCACCTGACCTATGGTGCTCAGGTGCATTGCTTTGGCCAATCGCAATGCACTGTCAGAGCGCAGTGCATTGTGGGGCATGGCCGCGAACAGCCTGCCGAATGCCTTTACCATTTGTATGTTCGCCAAACACATGAACGGCCGATGTTTGAGTCGAACTTATGTTCAACGTGAACATCAAGCCCAACCTGAGTTTTCAGTGACAACACCCTCTGTCATCCCCAGGGTGACACTGACTATGATCACCTTCACAGAATTCATCCCCTCATAAATTACATTTCCCAGAAATATGCAGATGTTTATATGCCACAACAAAACATCTGCATAAATGTACATTTTACTGGCAGGCTTGCAATAAAGCAATATCTCACCAGCAAGGGTGCCAGATATGAGGCCAAACTGTATAAGGTCTGTGGGAGAACAACAGATTATACATACAGCTTTAGAGCTTAGGAGGGAAAAGACAGTCAAGTGGAGCCTCCTAGATGCCCAGACTACATGGGGAGCAGTGGCAAGATAGTGTGGGACTTGTCCCCCTTGTTCCATAAGGGGTACCATTTGTACTTGGACAACTTTAAAGTAGAAGTACAGCCAAAGCTCTATTGGCTGTACATCTCCTGTAGATCACAGCAATGCAGTACGTTTTGCACTCCTGTCACCCATTTTTAGCTAAGCCTGCTGTCGGCTGACATCACTCAACTGGTCCAGGCTGGGGAAAGATCCCGAATTTAAAGTCAGGATCCACCCCAGAGTCTGGAGCGGCAACTGGCTCAACCTCTCAACAATCTGCTGAGAGCCTGAGCCAGTTGCTCCCTCCCCCTCCACAGCCTAGCACTCCAGTGAGCCCGGAGGGGAGGGGGGTACAGAACAGACCTACAGTCAGGTCCATAAATATTGGGACATTGACACAATTCTAACATTTTTGGCTCTATACACCACCACAATGGATTTGAAATGAAACAAACAAGATGTGCTTTAACTGCAGACTGTCAGCTTTAATTTGAAGGTATTTACATCCAAATCAGGTGAACGGTGTAGGAATTACAACAGTTTGCATATGTGCCTCCCACTTGTTAAGGGACCAAAAGTAATGGGACAGAATAATAATCATAAATCAAACTTTCACTTTTTAATACTTGGTTGCAAATCCTTTGCAGTCAATTACAGCCTGAAGTCTGGAACGCATAGACATCACCAGACGCTGGGTTTCATCCCAGGGTGATGCTCTGCCAGGCCTCTACTGCAACTGTCTTCAGTTCCTGCTTGTTCTTGGGGCATTTTCCCTTAAGTTTTGTCTTCAGCAAGTGAAATGCATGCTCAATCGGATTCAGGTCAGGTGATTGACTTGGCCATTGCATAACATTCCACTTCTTTCCTTAAAAAACTCTTTGGTTGCTTTTGCAGTATGCTTTGGGTCATTGTCCATCTGCACTGTGAAGCGGCGTCCAATGAGTTGTGAAGCATTTGGCTGAATATAAGCAGATAATATTGCCCGAAACACTTCAGAATTCATCCTGCTGCTTTTGTCAGCAGTCACATCATCAATAAATACAAGAGAACCAGTTCCATTGGCAGCCATACATGCCCACGCCATGACACTACCACCACCATGCTTCACTGATGGGGTGGTATGCTTAGGATCATGAGCAGTTCCTTTCCTTCTCCATACTCTTCTCTTCCCATCACTTTCGGGTACAAGTTGATCTTGGTCTCATCTGTCCATAGGATGTTGTTCCAGAACTGTGAAGGCTTTTTTAGATGTCGTTTGGCAAACTCCAATCTGGCCTTCCTGTTTTTGAGGCTCACCAATGGTTTACATCTTGTGGTGAACCCTCTGTATTCACTCTGGTGAAGTCTTCTCTTGATTGTTGACTTTGACACACATACACCTACCTCCTGGAGAGTGTTCTTGATCTGGCCAACTGTTGTGAAGGGTGTTTTCTTCACCAGGGAAAGAATTCTTCGGTCATCCACCACAGTTGTTTTCCGTGGTCTTCCGGGTCTTTTGGTGTTGCTGAGCTCACCGGTGCGTTCCTTCTTTTTAAGAATGTTCCAAACAGTTGTTTTGGCCACTCCTAATGTTTTTGCTATCTCTCTGATGGGTTTGTTTTTTCAGCCGAATGATGGCTTGCTTCACTGATAGTGACAGCTCTTTGGATCTCATCTTGAGAGTTGACAGCAACAGATTCCAAATGCAAATAGCACACTTGAAATGAACTCTGGACCTTTTATCTGCTCATTGTAATTGGGATAATTAGGGAATAACACATGGAACAGCTGAGAAGCCAATTGTCCCATTACTTTTGGTCCCTTAACAAGTGGGAGGCACATATGCAAACTGTTGTAATTCCTAAACTGTTCACCTGATTTGGATGTAAATACCCTCAAATTAAAGCTGACAGTCTGCAGTTAAAGCGCATCTTGTTCGTTTAATTTCAAATCCATTGTGGTGGTGTATAGAGCCAAAAATGTTAGAATTGTGTCAATGTCCCAGTATTTATGGACCTGACTGTAGGTGACTGACAGTCACCGCTCTCTGCTCACAGCAGCGATGAGAAAGTGATCAGCGGTCAGGTAATCGCTGAGTTCTCAACCTTTGAGCCAGAGGGGGAGAAGCATTTTCCACCCCAAAAAAGATGTGTATGTGGTAAACACGAAATAAGGTGTGGCACCAACTTTATTACTTGTTCCTCCTGTCCTGACCAACCTGGTCTCTGCATTAAGGGCTGCTTCCATCACTGTCACACCATAGTGGACTATTAGTCTAGGGTACAGCATGGCACAGTATAGGGGTCCAAACAATTCTGCACAAGAAGGGTCTATAAATATGTTAGTCAGGAAACTGTCTATCACATTTGGAGAGACCCTAAAATCAAAAACTAGAAAGAGTATTATGCTGAAAAGTTTTTTTTTTTTTTACATAAAAAGTAGTAAATAAATAAAATTTGTTGTTGTTTTATTGAGTTAATGTCTATTGTCACTGTGTGTTAAGCCGGGTAAAAATGGTACGTTTTTTTTCTGTTCAACCCAGTCAGCTGACCGAAAGAAAACAGGTTGCCGTACTAACTATGTAATATTAGAGTAGCAATTTCCCCCTCTGAGCAATTGTGTTATGACAGCGGGACTCCCCCCCCTGCCAGGACACACTGACCAGCACTCACAGCCATTGGCTGAGTTTTCCAGCATGCTTGTTTGATAGAAGCCGGTGGTGAGACCAGCTTCTGTTGGTCGAGGAGCTGTACATATGGGCTGAAAATTGGCTCGTTCCTGCTGAACTAACCATTTTCAGCCAATTTTGGGCCAGTGTGTACCCAGATTTATTGTTATCTGTTGTTGTTGTTTGCTTTGTAAGAATGCCAATCAGCTTCAGCACTGATCTGTGTATTTTGACTTTCAAAATACATATGTCAGTGCCTGCAGTGCCGCAGGGGGAGATTTTTACATCCGCAGTTAAAAAAAAAAGAAAGCGTATGCCAGGGGCGGACTGACAACTCATGGGGCCCCTGGGCAATAGGGGATCATGGGGCCCCTGTGTCCTTGCTCAAAATCAAAAAAGCCTATGAAAAAGGTACCAGGGGCATCTCATGGGGCCCCCTACTGACCCCAGGCCCTCGGGCAGAGCCCGAGTTTCCAAATGGTCAGTCCGCCCCTGGCGTATGCCCAGCATTAGAAGCATGGGTTGGTCAGTGAGCACTAGCTCCTATGTATCGGCATATACTTTTTTCCCTTTTTTCTGGCCAAGATTTCTTCATTCACATCGATCAATGTGAATGGAGGAATCTGTTTTTCCTTCATATATGCCCAGCAATAGGTGTGTGGAGTGGCCAGTGGATGCTATACTTCAGCATGTACCGTATTTTTCGCTCCATAAGACGCACTTTTTTCCCCCCAAAATATAAAGCGGTCGGTCTGGTATTTCTGCCGCCACCATTTCAGAATACCGGGCCGGCCGCTCAGCTGTTCTCTCCTGCAGGGCCTTACCTGTTCCTCGCTCCAGCGCTGCACAGTCTTCCCGCGCTGGCTTCTGTGACAGCCGGGTGCCCACTGCGCATGTGCTGCACTTTGTGAATGATCGGTGTCTTCTGGGACACATGACAGGTCCCAGAAGGCGCCGGGCCATTCACAAAGCACAGCGCTTCTCGCGCATGCGCAGTGGGCACCCGGCTGTCACAGAAGCCGGCCCGGGAAGAAGAGGGAAGGACAACTCCACGGAAGTGGGAGCGGGTACCTGTCAAATTCAAGTACCCGCTCCCCCTCCCTCCCCAAAGGTCAGCAGTCTCTGGTCATTCCCTGCACTGTCTACAGTCTCTGGTCATCCCCTGCACTGTCTGCAGTCTCTGGTCATCCACTGCACTGTCTGCAGTCTCTGGTCATCCCCTGCACTGTCTGCAGTCTCTGGTCATTCCCCGCACTGTCTGCAGTCTCTGGTCATTCCCCGCACTGTCTGCAGTCTCTGGTCATTCCCCGCACTGTCTGCAGTCTCTGGTCATTCCCCGCACTGTCTGCAGTCTCTGGTCATTCCCCGCACTGTCCGCAGTCTCTGGTCATTCCCCGCTCTGTCCGCAGTCTCTGGTCATTCCCCGCTCTGTCTGCAGTCTCTGGTCATCCCCCGCACTGTCTGCAGTCTCTGGTCATTCCCCGCACTGTCTGCAGTCTCTGGTCATTCCCCGCACTGTCTGCAGTCTCTGGTCATTCCCCGCACTGTCCGCAGTCTCTGGTCATTCCCCGCTCTGTCTGCAGTCTCTGGTCATTCCCCGCTCTGTCTGCAGTCTCTGGTCATCCCCTGCACATTGTCCGCAGTCTCTGGTCATCTCCTGCACTGTGTCCGCAGTCTCTGGTCATCTCCTGCACTGTGTCCGCAGTCTCTGGTCATCTCCTGCACTGTGTCCGCAGTCTCTGGTCATCTCCTGCACTGTGTCCGCAGTCTCTGGTCATCTCCTGCACTGTGTCCGCAGTCTCTGGTCATCTCCTGTACCGTGTCCGCAGTCATCTCCTGTACTATGTCCGCAGTCTCTGGTCATCTCCTGTACTGTGTCCGCAATCTCTGGTCATCTCCTGTATTGTGTCCGCAGTCTCTGGTCATCTCCTGTACTGTGTCCGCAGTCTCTGGTCATCTCCTGTACTGTGTCCGCAGTCTCTGGTCATTTCCTGTACTGTGTCCGCAGTCTCTGGTCATCTCCTGTATTGTGTCCGCAGTCTCTGGTCATCCCCTGTACTGTGTCTGCAGTCCATTGGTTCAGAATATTTTTTTTTCTTGTTTTTCGCCTCTAAAACCTAGGTGCGTCTTATGGTCAGGTGCGTCTTATGGAGCGAAAAATACGGTACTTTTTTTCACTTTTTGCTTGCAGAGATTTCTTCATCCACATTGATTGATGTTCATGGAGGAATCTGTTCTTTTTTTTCTATTCATTTAACACAAAGGCTGCATGAAAAAAAAAACATTACATGGGCGGATGTGTCACGGATGAGGGTGGCATAAAATGATAAGACAGTTCAAACACCCCCAAATGGCCCATTTTTGGAAAGTAGACAACCAAAGGTATTTGCTGAGGGACATGTTGAGTCCATGGAAGTTTCTATTTTTTTTGCCACGTTTTTTAAAAATTACAAAACAAAAATTGTGGTTTTTTTTACACAAAGTTGTCTCTTTATTAAGATATTTCTTACACACGCCATGGGTATATGTGGCATTACACCCCAAAACACATTCTGCTACTTTTCCTGAGTATTTTCCTGTTTTCTTCTTCATTTTCCAAAACCTTTTGGCAACAAATGAGATCTGCTGAATACTTGCCATGCCTATTAGCAAATACCTTGGGATGTCTACTTTCCAAAAAGGGTGATTTGGGGGTTCTTTGTACTATCCTGGCAGTTTAGGACCTTCAAAACTGTGATAGGTAGTCAGTAAGTCAAATGAGGAGGTTAGGCCCTTTGAGAGCCTGAAGGTGGTCATTGGATTTGGTCATTGGATTTTGAGCCTCCGTACGTGGCTAGGCTGCCAAAAAATCTCTCACATATGGTATACTCGTAGTCAGGAGAAGTAGCAGAATGTGCTTTAGGGTGTAACTCCACAATTCCCGTGGCATGCAAGAGAAATATCTAATTAAAATGACAGCTTTGTGTAAAAAAAGAAAATATTTTTTTTTTGTAATTTTCCAAAAACTTATGTCAAACAAAATCTTCCATGGGCTCAACATGCCTCTCAGAAAATACCCTGGCGTTTCTACTTTCCAAGAAGGGGTCATTTTGGGGGTTGTTTGTACTGTTCTGACATTTTATCACCTCAAGAAATGTGATAGGCAGCCAAGAAAGTAAAATCTGCGTAAATACCAGTATATACTAAAGATAGTAGATGCTATAACTTTCACACAAACCAAATAATATACACTTATTGGGATTTTTTTCACGAAAGACATATAGCAGAATATATTTTGTCCTAAATTTATTAAGACATTTGATTTTATTGGATGTTTTATGACAGAAAGTAGAAAGTATTTTTTTTTCAAATGTTTGTCTTTTTTCCTTTATATAATAACAGTAAAAATTGTAGTGATCAAATACCAATGATCAATGATAGCTCTCTTTGATACAAATGATACAAATTTAATTTGCTTACAGTATTGCATGACCTAACAATTGCCAGTTGAATCATCACAGTGTTGAATAGCAAAAAATGCTCTGATCATGAAGGCAGTAAAACCTTTCAGAGGTCAAGTGCTTAAATTAGTATCAGTATCACTTAGTGTCAGTGTGTTTTAGGTAGGATTAAAAAAAAAGTAAAATGTGCATTATTGTTTCTGGGCCCTACTATGGGTACAAACAACAAATAACATACACACATGTGGTATAGTTGCGTTCAGGAGCAGAAGAATTTATTTTGGGCTGTTTTTTGTGACAAGCTAACCGCTTAAGGACCTCCCTATAGAAGATATACTGCTACAGGGCGGCACCTGTGTGCAAAATCACGTATATATACATGATTTTGCATTTCCAGGTAGGGGGCGCGCGCGAGCCCTACCCATGCCGCCATTACTGACCGCGGATGTCAATCACCGGGTCACGGCCCGTAATTACCCTCCGGCGCCTGGTGATTACCAAGCATCTCAGATGGGGAGGAAGATTGTTTTGTTTACAAACAATCTTCCTCCCTGTCAGCTCAAGCACACTGCTCGGAATGGCTTTGCACAGTACAGCCATTCCGATCAGTGTGCTTACAGTGAAGAACATACCCCCTGCCCCCTAGTAAAACACACACAGCACACAGTTAACCCTTTGATCGCCCCTCACATTATCCCCTTCCTGCCCAGTGCCATTAGCACAGTGTCAGTGCTTATTTTTTAGCATTGATCACTATATTGGTGTCACTAGAGATGTCAGTGACACCAAGTTAGTTCCCACCCCAGTGTCAGAATGTCCGTCGCAGTCCCCTAAAAGTCGCTGATCGCCACCATTACTAGTAGAAAGAAAATATACCAGTATTTATACCGCCACTTGTAAACGCTATAACTTTCACGTAAACCAATTAATTTACACGTATTGGGATTTTTTTTTTAGAAAATACATGTAGCAGAATACATTTTGGTCTCAATTTATGACAAAGTTTGATTTTTTTTTTTTAATTTTTACTAGACATGTTTAATAGCAAATAGTCCAAAATATAGTTTTTTTTCTCAAAATTGCTCATAACGCAAAAAAATAAAAAACGCACAGGCGATCAAATACCACCTAAAGAAAGCTCGATTCGTTTGAAAAAAAAAGGAAGTCAATTTTACTTGGGTGCAGCGTTGCATGCTGGGGTGTATTTACCACAAGGCAAACAAGGCATTTGCTTAGGGCAGCATTTTTCAAGGGGGCAGCACTGCTCCTTGGAAGAAGGGATGGAAGAAGGGGCACAAGCGGCATGGAGACCTGGTGGGTTCCGAGAGATGCTGTGGGTTTCATGACGGTGTATGCACAGCCCAACTCTCATTCCTGGGGATGTCTGTGAAGATGAGTGTCTTCCTCTCTCTCACCATGGTGGATGGTGGCTGGTGTATGGGGATCAGTGGTAGTGGAAGGCTCGGGTGGAGGGCATTGGTGTTCTTGGTCAATGTCAGACTCCTTTTGCGGGGGGGAGAGCACCAATTTTTGTGTTGCCTAGGGCAGCACAAAACCTAAATGCACTACTGGTTGCATGACCGCGCAATTGTCAGTTAAAGTAACACAGCGCCATACCGCAAAAAATGCCCTGATCAGGAAGGGGGGGGGGGGGTAAATCCTCAGGAGGGCAAGTGGTTAAGGTAATAGGGGAAAATATACAGCTCAATTAAAAAAAATGATATATTTGTACTATTTTGTGCCAGTTATCCTTTGATAAAGAACAATCAGGTGATATCATTACCATTTACCAGCAAATGAAAGCCAAAATGTGTCCTAAAAAAAAAGGTATATTCCATTGGATACACGAAGTAGTTGTGATGATATAAAGAAATACACAACCTGCTGCTGGACCTGGAAGAAAAGGAACAAAGAGGGATGCAGACTGGTCCCCAGTTATTGTAACTAATATTGTAATGATTGCCTGTATGTTGCCCGAATATTGTAATGATTGCCTGTATGTTGCCCGAATATTGTAATGATTGCCTGTATGTTGCCTGAATATTGTAATGATTGCCTGTATGTTGCCCCAATATTGTAATGATTGCCTGTATGTTGCCCGAATATTGTAATGATTGCCTGTTTGTTGCCCGAATATTGTAATGATTGCCTTATGTTGCCCGAATATTGTAATGATTGCCTGTATGTTGCCCGAATATTGTAACGATTGCCTGTATGTTGTCCGCATATTGTAACGATTGCCTATATGTTGCCTGAATATTGTAACGATTGCCTGTATGTTGCCTGAATATTGGTATGTTGCCTGCATATTGTAATGATTGCCTGTTTGTTGCCCATATATTGTAATGTTTTTTTTTTTTTGTTTTGTTGCCTGTGTATTGTATGGATTGCCAAAGGGTGATGTTTAACTTTTGAATGGATTTGGGATCATGCAAAGTAATGTACACATCAGCAGGTGGCGCTAGGTGTTTTATCCATGCATGAAGTACTAGGGTCCCCAGCCACAGGGCCAATAAAGATCTGACTTTTACAATTTAAGGCAAGATTTTTCCACAATGCTGCTCTAAAAATTTCTGACTGCTCACATTTTTAACGGACATGTTGCCATAACAACACAAGACTGCACACAATGATTGCGGTTTAATTTTTGGCAGTGGTGCTTTTTTTTTTTAAAGCTGAAGTAAAGGGGAAAAAATAAATTCTGGACATCTGCAATGTAGGTATAAGTTACCACTAATGATATGTATCCCATGAGTGGCTGCCGCTGTGTTTGCTAAAACTGTTAGAGGAGAATCTCTCTAACACAGCCCTGGATAATAGAAAAACCTGACAGGGGATCTAAGGCTTGGTTCACACCTATGCTTTTTGCTTTCGATCCATTTTAAAATGCTTTTTGCATTATGCTTTGTGTTTTTACCTGTGCGTTTTGTGGGGGTTTTTTTCAGCTTTTTTTTTTTTTTTGTTAAAGTGGGAATTTTTTGGTTAAAAAAAGCGATAAAATGCGGCAAAAACGCACTACATGCATTTCAGCAGCTTTTCCTATGAATTCTATTTTAGCAAAAATGATTCTTTTTGCATGTAAAAAAGTCCCTGACCCTTTCCAAAGATGCAGCAGCTCAAAAAGCATAGATGTGAACATGTCCCATGGGAAACCATGTTAAATGGACGGTAGTATGTTTCTGTAAAAAGCACTAAAAACGCATTGGTATGAACCACGGGTAACTATTTCCCCACGCTATTCATAATAAAGGAAAAAAGTTTTGGCAGAACATATGTTGTTTTATTTTAATATGGCCAAAAAAATATTCATGCAGTATTAAAGCTTACTACTAATTTTACTACTTTTTTGTTTTCATCTTGGATCGAGGATGGAATGATTTCCCTTCTATTTCAGTTTTGATGATACCTTAATGGTCACCAAGACAAATAGTGAAGGTGCATCTCCCTACGGGGGGCACAGAGAGCAATAAAGTAGGAACATTGACCATAGTGAAATCGGTAGAGATTACCCCCCCCCCCCCCCCCCACAAAGGAGTTGCTGTTTTCTTGTCTCCCCTGTTCCCATTGCCTGCAACTCCTCTTCAAGCAGCACTATGCTCTTATCATACCTAAAGGTAGGGCTGCTGTTAGAAACCATGGGGCCTCATACAGCCAACCTGACAGGGCCCCCAAAGAAAACAAAGTTTACTATGCTTCAGTTATGAATGAACACAGTGAGTGATCAGTACAGCAGGAGGAAATGCATGGTGCACAAGGAGGATGATGGGTGAGGCGGGGGGGGGGGCAATTACTGGTACTGGAAACAATCCCCTGTATGGCTCTCTCTGCAGCAGCTGAAAGCCAGCAGGAGGGAGAGGAGAAAAAGTCAGCTCTCATCTGCAGCAGAGAGAGCCATACAGGGGATAGGGTCCAGTAATTACCCCCACCGTGCCGATCACCCTCCCTGCCTACATCTGAATTATTCAGCTACCTAGGCCCCCCTGCTGACTTGGGCCTCCTACAGGAGGACTGGTGCTGCCCCCTTATCCACGGCCCTGCCTAAAGTGCGGTTATTTACTGCAACAATGCACAATAATTCAACAAAGAGTACAAAATGGCAATAAACATTTCCAAAAGTATGTGGAATAGTTGCAAAATAACATATACACTTGGTAATAAACAAGCAGACCAGTGACTGAGCCCTAATCCCTCTTCTATGGGAGGTCCTGTCTAAGGGGCAATGCTAGAACAATGGTCCAGCAGTCTTGGCAAACCCTACGCTACTGACCAGTGCATTGGGGTCCAAATACAGCGCTGGAGCGGTCAACCTTAAGTCTCTCTGAACACAGATCTAGGTGTCTAAATGGCGTCCCAGTAACTACTACTGTACCTTTAAAGGATAAGTTCATCTTTGGGAACATGTTACATATTCCACCCATTTTTATGTAGCATGTTCCAGCTTCTGCAGCCTCTCCCTGCTGCCCACACTCCCTGTGACAGCAGGTCGGGGATCTTCTCCATGTACCTCTTGTCACTATTTTCAAAACAGCTTCACCCACATGGCCATGTCATTCATTCACAGAGCTCTGAATGAATGAACTACAAGTACCAACAGTCTTTGGGGCTCTCGGCTTGTAGTTCTCAAAGAAACAACCAGGGTGCCGTTGATCGCTGTGGGGGTTCATTGATGCTTCCTGTTAGTGTGTAACTGCCTGCCCGTAAGAGGTACAAGTGGACTGCTGCAGTCTGCAAGAGCCCTGCAATGCTTTACAGGCTAATAAAAAAATAATTGCACATTTTTTTACCTGCAATAAGATGTACATTTATGGGCAGCACAGTGGCTTAATGGTTAGCACTTCCGCCTGCCAGAACTGGGGTCATTGGTTCGAATCCCAACCACGGTACCACCTGCCTGGAGTTTGCATGTTCTCCCTGTGCTTGCGTGGGTTTCCTCCAGGTACTCCGGTTTCTGGAACCACTTAACCTACCTCCAAAGACATGCTGGTAGGTTAATTGGTTCCTGTCTAAATTGACCCTAGTATGTGTATGTATGAATGTAAGTTAGGGACCTTAGATTGTATGCCCCTTGAGGGTTAGGGACTGATATGAACATACAAAATATGTATACAGGTTAGTACCTCAGTTTACAAATGCCTCGGTTAACATAATTTTCGGTTTACGAATGAAAATCCATTGAAAATAATGTCTCGGTTTTTAAGAATTTTTTTTCGAATGCCAATTTTTAAATGCAATTGCTGGCTTTTTTTTTTCTTCACTATAGCTCACAGAATTAGCTCTCACTTTCCCCGGAGTTAAAGGAAGCTTTATATCTTTTAAGAAACTAAAAGGAAACATTGTTTTCTTTTAACTCAGGGAAATAAACTAAAAGGAATCTTTCTTTCTTTTAGCTGGGGGGAAAGTGACAGCTGAATCTCTGAGCTATAGTAAAGAAAAAGAAAGCGGTAATTACATTTAAAAACCAGCACCATAATAAATAAAAAAACGGGTGTGGGGTCCCCTCTCCCATCCATACCAAGCCTTTCAGGTCTGGTATGGATTTTGATGGGAACTTCCACGCCACAATGTAAAAGAAAATGGCATGGGGGTCCCCCCCAAAATCCATACCAGACCCTTATATCCGAGCATGCAGCTGGGCAGGTCAGGAAAGGGAGGGAGATGAGCAAGCACCCCCCAAACCATACCAGGCTACATGCCCTCAACATGGGGGG